CTTGAGAGATGGCGGCTCGTGGGGCTGGTATAGGACGTCACTCGCGGCGGCCTCTCTACGGCGCCATTTTGTTTGCTGGAAACTTCGTGGTAGGTAAGGCCGTGAGCCGGGGCGGTGAGGGAACGGGGCCGCGGAGCAGGGCGGTGGCGAGAGGAAAGGCTGGGTCTGCCCGGCCGGGAAGGCGGGGCCGAGTGTGGGCACTGCGGGTGGCGGCCGGGCAGCCTGCCCGGAGCTGCTGGGCCACCCTGATCCTGAGGCCTAGAGGGGAGCGGAGGCCTTTCAGCGTGGCGCTCCCCTCCCTGACCATGGTGCCTGCGGGGGATCTCCTCTGCACAACAGGCTGCTCTCCTCGAGCTCTCCCCAGCATCTGCACTGCCGTGTGCTGGTGTCTGGAGGGCGCTAGGGCAGGGGAAGACGGTGGAGGTTTAGAAGAAAATGTTGGTCGCTGGAGATTGGTAACACTTTGGGGGGAACTTGGGCTGAACTTGGTAGTGCGTTAATGGTCTTTGTGGAGAAGATGTAAAATTGTCCTTATTTTGCATGGGATATAGATTGCCTGGTCTTTTTTTTTTTTTCTCTTTTGCCCTTTGTAGACAATACTGTAGGCCCCTTAGGCTGAGGAAGGTGGCAAGTTCTTTCCCTGTGTAGCATCAGCACCTGCTATTCTTGGGGGGTAATTTTTATGCCAGCTTGTCACAGTCATAGACAGGTTTGTTCCTTTCTTGCGCCAACTTTGCTGAGACGTGAATTGAGGCCTCCTGAAGTGGAAAGCTTTGAAATAGGATGTGAGAACTAATAAAGCACTATGCGCTTGAACCGTTTGATCTATAATGTGATGAGTGGCTGCCTTGTACTCTTCTCCCCACGGAGACACCCTGCACAACAAGAAGCCAATCAAATCACTGACTGCTGAGCAGGTTAAGGCAGTTCATAGTTTTACTCCTCCCTGTTATAGGCTCTGCTGAATGTTGGTTGTATTCTGATGCTGGAAGTACAGAAAGCTTGAATAAGGAAAAAAATCCGCTTCTGTAAATCTTAGAATCACTGAGGTAATACTTGTATTGATGTGTAAAAAGAAGCTATTTCTGTGCAGTAGCTAATGTGCATAGAAATAAATTACTCCAGCTTATGCATGTAATGCATACAAATGTATTTATAGAGGGTAAAAACTATTGTTTATGGAACTTTTCTGATTTCTGTTCCCTGAAGTAACGGGAGGAGAATATGATTTATCTGATCTCCCCCTGAAGACTGCAGCAGCAGTTTGCTAACCAATTTTGCACATTATCTTGTATTTTTAATTGAGTAATTATATTACAGTGTTTGGTCCAAATTGGCATAGATTAAATAGCCACAGATGGCAAATGTAAAAGTCCTGGACCCTGCAAGACTCCTAAAGAGCAATGTTAAATAGCAAGGTTCTTAACAGAAATCATCTTTGTTGAATGATCTTTTAATGTTAAATTAAATGTTCTCTATACTTTTAGGGAGCTAAAATCTATTTTAATAAAATTCAGCAATTAGATAATTCAAACAGTGAACTAATAAAGACAGAGTCTGTCAGGATGCCAAATAGCCAGCCAGAATTGCAGATTTTAAGATAATATTTCTCTTTGTACTGTCTTATCCTTGATACATGTATTATTGAGTCTGTTTGACGTGCCATATTAATTCTACATATGTCAGAGAAGAAGTAAAGAAATGAAACACTTGCAGGTGCTTTCTTGCAGGTGCATTTCTCATGCTGTACTTGATTTTTATTTTTATTTTTTTTTGCCTCAGGACACTCAGATCTGTGGTGAGTTTATGCTTGTCTGATGACTGACTCTACAAGACCTAAACCCTCAAGTTTTGCTAAAAAGCATGCTTTTTGATGACTATGTTCCATCTTACTAGGTGCAGGTTTACAGTGTGGTAGAACTGACAGAATGACCAGACTGCAGCT